ACCGCGGGGCAAGGGCAGGCGTCTGATCGCATTTCCGGTGGCATCCGGCGCCCGCCCATGTCCTTTCGCAAAAAGGTGGGGTTTTTCCAAGTCTCCATGGGATGCGCACAAGCACCCAACGGAGCATGCGCACATTTCAGTTTTTAAAAAAACCCATGACCCCGTTTGCTGCGCCGCTCCACTTCTTTGCCACGTCGTGTGATCCGCATCTCCCCCCTAACCACGGGAGCTCGACGGGACCTCAACCCAATGCCTGACTGTGCAGTCACGTGTTATTTTGCTCCGGGGCAAACAGCCACGCCTCCCCCCCCCCGCATTTTCCTGCCCGTGTGGCCGAGGCCATGGTTCCTCTTCTTCCACCTCCATTTTCTCCTCACAGCACTGTCAGTTCACTTGACTGTAGAAGGAATCATCCTATGAGGTAAATTAGGCCGCGAGAGAGAATATCACTCAAAAGAGTGTCCTGGGATCCCCAGTTCTAGCTTTACCATCAAACTGCTGTGCTATGTGTGGCTCTGAGAGAACGTAGCTTCGTTTGAGAGCCTGCGATTTGCATGAAGAAGATCCTGGCAAGTCCAGCTTCAGAGAGGAAAAGGCCATGGCTGCACGGCAGAGCATATGTTTTGTAGGTTGGAGGTCCAAGATTCAGTTTCCCATTAAAAAGATTACAAGTGCTGGGTCTTGGGAAAGGTCCCCGATACTCTGCTGCCAGTTGGAAGAGATGGTACTTGGCGTGATGGTTATAAAGCAGCTTCATGTATTCTTGAGCCGTTTCCAAGACTGCAGTGTTATGTACAGTAAGATGGGAGATAGTTCCACTGAACTCAGGGGCACCGCTCAGATCTTAACTGTGCCAGAGTTTCACTTAGGGAAGCTTCTCTCTCTCGGCCTCAGCATCCCTCTCCCCCCACCCCACCACCACCACCATTTACAGCATGGGACTAATCATACTGGCCTACCTTTCAGGACTATTGCAAGTATTTCAACAGGATAATGTGAGTAAAGTGTTTTGAATGTTGAAAGCACTACAAAGATACTGACTGTATTATCTTTATTTATTTTCTTTCAATGATTTCCCCCCCCCCCATCCTTCATCCCTTCTTGGAGCCTGATTGCTCTGTGATCTGACAGGCTCCCTACTGCCTTTTATGTATGTTGTTGTTGTTGTTTTAATTTTGAACCCATTGGGGAAAGGACAAATCTTTCCATTTGTATATTTTCTCTTAACTGTGTTTGCATGTGTCGATTCACTTTGCTGTGGAAGGAGGACCCAGCTTCACAAGCATTGTGCACTTCCAATGTACTAGGTAGATAGAAAGCTTTAATTTCCAGATAGGTTTGCACCCCAGCATCTTTCAGGGCTGAAATTCAGTGGGCTGAATCTGCCTGGGGCGTGTGTGGGCTTCCCTGGGGCGGGAGTGGATGGGCTCTGCCTGGGCCATGGCACCATGTCCGGAGAGGGGCTTGCATTCCCCAGTGGTGGTGCAAGCCAATGCTGTGATCAGACTGCACTGGTCTCTCCAGTCACAGAATATGTGCCACTGGTCTCCCACTGCCAAGCAACGCCACAGCAGGATGTGCTTGTGCACGTACACACCTCAGCACTGACCAGCCAAGCCCAAGAGGTACATACAGTCTGGCACATCATCAGTGCTCCATATATGTAGGAGTCTAGTCCAATGTAGGTGATGCCGGAGACGTCTTCCTGAAGGTTGCCAGGGTGTTCTAAGTACTGGAATGCAGAGCAACTGCTTCTTGTCCCCCCCAGTGAAATACATCAGCCTCTTGGATTCACTGCATAAGACGAAAGAATTCCTAGGATGCACCATGAAAAGGAGTTGAATGGTACCAGTCGTATAACAGAAGCAAAGCGGTTGCTATGGAAATGACCACAGAAATCAAATCAGATGTAATTTCTCTGCGGACGGAGGAGGAGATGTGAAAAGACCTTATTATTATTTTTAACAAATGCAACATTTTATGAGTACAATGGGAGGGGGGGGATTATGTATCCTCCATGCTGTTCTACAGTGGATGGATAATAGTGTGCAACTCAACCCTGCCTCCCTCAGCAACCTGGCCAATTTCCCTCTGCAGCCGTCTTTTTGAAGCGATGCCACAGGATGACAGGCCCCGTCAGGGACAAACATCTGCCTGGGAGGCTGTCAGAAGGGAGCCTCAGCAGGGCAAAGTGAGGTTAGAACGTTGGGCTGGAATCTGGGAGGTCTGGGTTCAAGTCCCCGCTCTGCCATCAAGATCTCTGGAGTGGCCTTGGGGATAAACATGGGGAGAAGACAGCAGTGCGTCCCACCCTGAGTTCCTTGAAGGAGGTGGGGGGGAGGGCAGAAATGTACTAGGTAGATGGGGGGGGGAACCACAATAACCCATAGGGGGTCAGGACCAGTGTTCCCTCTAAGCTGAGTTGGTGTGAGCTAGCTCACAGTTTTTTAGCCTCCGGCTCACACATTTTTGCCTTAGACTCAGGAAGGATGGCTCCAGAGCAAACTAATTTATGCAGTAGGCAAATTGCTCGCTCACGACTTTAATGCCAGTAGCTCACAAAGTTGAATTTTTGCTCACAGGACTCCACAGCTTTGAGGGAACATTGGAGGACTCGTGACTACTTTCCTGCCACTACCCCCATGAGGTCTTTATTGGGGGCTAAGTGAAAAGATGGAGCCTGTCCCAGAAATGTTTTTGAGCCCCTCGTTTCTACCGTTGTTTTGAGCACTTTGATGCAAAACCGTTCTCCAGGAACTGGCGGCAGCAGTGCCACAAAGATGAGGCAACCAGTCCACCACCCCTCGCACAGAGGAAGGAGTATCCCATGCAGAGGAAGGATCCATGTTCCGATACTCATCTAAACGTTGCATTATTCCCAGTGGGACGTGTCTCTGGGTGTGTACCACCACGCGAGGGAGCGCTGGCCCGGCTGGCTTAGCAATGGGGCCCAGCTTCCTCTTCTCTAGCCCTGAACACCAGTGGCAGATCAGGAGATGGGTGGCTGGAAGCTGGCATGATGAATGTGGGGGAGGGGGTTTTTTTTTCCTGTCGAGCTGTGCCCTCCACCCACTGGCAACTTTCATGGCACCTAACCTCTCAAGAAAATTTGGCCCAGAACTAATAGATAAGCAAAGCTTTCTTTCCTTTTTTCCATTTCAAAGCGGACTTCTTTTTCATTCTTCAAAATTCCTCCGTGCCATTGGAAATCCTCAGTGGCCTGTAACCTGAGCTCTGTGTCTTTTGTAAACATGCATTTCTTATTCAGATTCTTGGGATGGATCTCAGCTCTTCTTCTTTTCTTTTAAAGCAGCACCATGCAGCCTTGGGATGCTGAGAACAGAGTAAAATGGTGTAGGCAGCATTTGGCCAACTCTTTTAGAAGCAAGAGGGGGGCTTTGCCTCTCAGTATATGTGGAGCATACAACCCTCACCCCCACTCTTCCTTGGATAGCACAGAGTGGTTCACATGGATTCCCATGGGACTTTTCCCAGTGTAGACTGTAGGTTGTGGATGCACCTCAGAGCTCATCCAGTGTGGCTCCAACCCTGGAATTAGCAGATGTTGATTCACTGCTGCACCACATGATAAAGGAGTGGATGTGCTGAAGATAGATTGCTAAGCAAGCTGGTTCTCGAAATTCAGTCACACTTTGCCGTAACCTGGAAATGGAACCTAGGATGGGGCTATGCAGATGAAGGGCAAGTCTATTCAAATAAGAATGGGCTTAATGCTAAGTGGCTAGGGTTTCTGGAGCTATGAAGCATAGGGTTGCTCCACTGCCAGTGCAGCACAGGGAGAATTGTCATTGGGTGATTTCCCACAAGCGCTGCTCCACGCTCACTCTTCTCTTTGGCCCGATGGTATGTGTCAATTTCACACAAGCTGCTGCGCGACCGCATTTTGCCCCGCAGCTTTGTGCGATTTTCCCCGTGTCTACTCAATCCTGTTTTTTGAGGATTGAGTAGACGCGGGGAAAATCGCACAAAGCTGCGGGGCAAAATGTGGCCGCAGCTTGTGTGAAATTGACACATACCATCGGGGCAAAAGGGAGGAGTGAGCGCGGAGCAGCGCTTGTGGGAAATCACCCATTGTTTGGAAGCTCTGGGAGACCCAGGGTGATTTCCCACTAGCGCTGCTCCGGGCTAACTCATCCCTTTTGCCTCGATGGTAGGTGTCAATTGCACACAAGCTGCTGCGCTGCCTCATTTTGCCTCGCAGCTTGGTGCGATTTCCCCTGCGTCTACTCAATCCTCAAAAAACAGGATTGAGTAGTGCATCTACTCAATCCTCAAAAAACAGGATTGAGTAGACGCGGGGGAAATCGTACCAAGCTGCGAGGCAAAATGCGGCTGTGCAGCAGCTTGTGTGAAATTGACACCTACCATCGAGGCAAAAGGGACGAGTTAGCCCGGAGCAGCGCTAGTGGGAAATCACCCCCAGGTTCACCTCCTGACTCTGCCATGGAAGCTCACTAGCTGACCCTGGGCCTGTCACTCGCTCTCAGCCTACCATACCTCAAAAGGGTGAGGATAAAGTAGAGGATAATTATGCATGTTGCCTGAACTCTTTGGAAGAAGGGCAGGGTTTTAAAAAATGTAATAAATACATACATCACCGGTAGCAGCTCATAAAAGTTTTTCTTAGCAAGCCGAGGCTCTTCGCCAGTCTGCAAATTTCCCTCCCTGCACCACCAGCTACAGTAGCAGTAACGCCAGGCAAGTTTAAGTTTTAAAGATTATTCAAGTTCCAAGTCCCTGTTATTGTTACAATTTTTAAAAAAAAAAAAAATGCCTGGCTCTACTAGCTGAGAAAGGATCCAACTCCAGGTAAGGAGGAGCCTCAGGTAAGAGATGCTTCTGATCTGGGATCCTCTTGATGTTGACAGCTTAGTGGGGAGCCATCAGGTAGGCGAAGAAGAATTTGTGTGGCAGCTGCTGCGGATGCTCATGGTGTTGCCCTCTGTGGGGGAGTGGACTGCTCCTCAGCTGCCCGGATGCTAGATCATGCCGGCCAGGAATGGTGGGAGGAAAAGTCCAATGGTCCCCAGCAAGCAGACGATGATGAACATCCAGAGGAAGATGCGGTCTATCACCATCGCAACATACTTCCAGTCTTCCTTCACCTGGGAACACATGATGAGCACTCATTGTATTATGAAGGCTGTGGAAACAGGAGACCCTCCCCTAAACTCTCTGCTCCCCTGGGCCTGGTTGTCTTGACATTGCTTTTGCCTAGGCTGAAACACTCCCAGGACTCAACCTGGGCCTCGCCAAATCCCTATACTCTGGTGGTGGGTGATTTAAGGTTGCAGGCTCCAGGGTGAGAAATTTTAGAGATTTCAGCTAGCAAGGACAGAGGAGGGGAGGGACCTCAGCAGGGTATAATGCTATAGAGTCCATCCTCCAATGCAGAGTATAAAATGCTGTTAAAAGGGAATTACGCAGGTGAGGTACCACACTGTGCCAGACAAGACGTCTGACACAGGCAAGGCCAGTGGCTTGTGAAGAGGACGTCAGGGTTAACTGCGGCTGGAGAGAATCCCTGTCTCTTCCCTCCTGCCCCCCAAACTCCTCATGCTGCTCCTTAGAAGAACAAACTGCCAGATGACCCGGATCACAGCTGCTGCAGTACTGCATCATTCCCTGCTGTTGTGCTCTCTCCTGTACGAATCTGCATGCAGGCACAGCAGAGGATGGGAGTTCAGGAGTGCCTAAAATAAACCTTGCATGCATTTTGCTATGCAACTGCCACTCCAGGTCTGAATAGCTGTGCTGAATCCATGCAAGTGCACATAAAGGCACACTAGCAGAGGCCCTTTTTGTAAATCGGATTGGTACAGACTGTCATCTGACTCTGATAAAAAGGTCTCTCTTCCCTGGCCAGTTGCAAAATATCCTTGCTACACTCTGCCATCATACCATCTGTCTTCTAAAGTCCCTCTGCTGGCTCCATGCCTCATGCTGTAAGAATCCAGAAATCTGCCTCTCTTTAGATCTTTTCAGGGAGTATCCCGTCATGTGTATCAGGAACATGTGCTACCTGTGGTCCTCCTGATACATGCAGTTGCTATTTCATAGGATATGCATAGTGCCAGTTTCAGACAAAATGGCAAACATGCATTGAGAGCCAGTTTGGTGTAGTGGTTAAGTGCGCGGACTCTAATCTGGGAGAACCGGGTTTGATTCCCCACTCCTCCACTTGCACCTGGCTGGATGACCTTGGGCAAGCCGTAGCTCTGATAAGAGCTGTCCTTGAAAAAGAGCCGTTTCTGTCAAGAGCTCTCTCAGCCCCACCTACCTCACAGGGTGTCTGTTGTGGGAAGGGGAAGGGAAAGGAGTTTGTAAGCCGCTCTGAGACACCTTTGGGTAGTGAAGGGCGGGGTATAAATCCAATCTCCTCTTCTTCACTTCTTCATATTGGGAGGATCAGAAGTAGTGTAACACCTGAAAAGGTCTCTTCCCTACTATGTAACCTTTTTTTAAACGTAGGGGGCAGTCCATATCTCATGCTTTGCATGAAAGGGGTCTGAGTTCAATCTCTAGCACCTCCAGTTGAAAAAAATCTCATGGAAGATCGGGAGAAGCATGTGGAGCGCCACTACTGGTCACGGCAGGTAGCACTAGGCCAGTAATCTGTTTCTGTGTAAGACAGTTACATAGGCCTGTAGGAACTGCTTTGCCGGAAAGTCCGAGATACCACCTAGTCTAGTGTTCTGTTTTCAAGAGCAGCTGGCCGGATGCAATGGCAGGAAGGCAGGAAAGCATTGTTTCTCCAGGCCAGTTTGGCCAGGGATCCTGGAGTTTGTTTTTTTGGGGGTCATCTTCTGGGCATGGAACAGGGTCACTGGGGGTGTTGGGCGGGAGGTATTTGTGAAGTTCCTGCATTGTGCAGGGGGTTGGACTAGATGACCCTGGAGGTCCCTTCCAACTTCCATGACTCTATTCTATTACGGCTTTCTCCTGTTCCTTGATCTCCTTCCACTTAAATCCCTTCTTGGACACACACACGAATCTGCTTTATGCAGAATCCGATTTGGCCTATCACAGTAGTCTACTCTGACCTGCAGTGGTTCACTAGGGTCTCAAGCCAAGGTCTTTCATATCACCTTCTACCGGACTATTCCAATGGGAGATGGTGCTGGCTGAACCTGAGGCCTTCGGCATGCAAAGCAGATTAGACAGGTCCTTGAAGGACAGGCCTACTGACTGCTCTTAACCAAGACAGAACTGCCGTCGACAGTGACGGTACGCCTCAGGAGTCTCAGTTGCTGAGGACCACCAACAGAGGAAGGCCATTTCCATCCTGCTACAACTGAATGGTTCTGGCGATACCTGGCTGGTCTCTATTGGGAACAAAAGGTTGGACCGGATGCACCACGACTCCAATCCAGTGAGGCAGTTCTGAAAGCCAGCGACTCACCGAAAAGTCTGCGTCCTCAGCCCGCAGGTGGTTGGCAATGTAGTGCACCCCTTCCAGGGCCTTCAGGATACTTGGCGAGAGCTGCAACCCATGGTCAGATGACGGCAGACTCTCTGTTTTGGTGGACGGGCGCTGCACCACTTCCACAAACCCCCTTCCCAGGTGACGGGCACAGGTGTAGCGGTAATGGAGGCAATGGTGGTGACAAGAGCCTTGGAGGGGCAGCCGGCCAGCAGGCATCCCCTCCTCGTTGCTGTCCTCTTCATCGTCCCACTTATCGTCAACATCGGTCTCCAGCCAACACCGGGATGTGCTGAGATTGGCAGGAGGCGTGTCGTACTGCCCAATCACCTCCTCGCTGGCCACCCTCACCGCCGGGGCAAGCACCGGTGGCCGTCTCATGAAAAGCCAGCGGGGGATGAAATCCAGGAAGACGGTACGGACCCACCGTGGCATCTTGTGGGTGCTGGGCGAGCGGTGGTGGACGTTGAGGACAAAGACCGTGATGACGATGGAGAGGGTGACAAAGATCATGGTGAAGAGCAGATACTCGCCTATCAACGGGATGACCAGCGAGGTGGACGGAATGATCTCGGTGATGAGGAGGAGGAAGACGGTAAGGGATAACAGGACGGAGATGCAGAGGGTGATCTTCTCCCCGCAGTCAGAGGGCAGGTAAAAAACCAGCACGGTCAAGCAGGAAATGAGAAGGCAGGGGATGATGAGGTTGATGGTATAGAACAGTGGCAGCCGGCGGATAATGAAACTATACGTGATGTCGGGATAGATCTCAGTACAGCAATCATATTTCTTGGTGTTGTAGGTGCCCACGGCATTGATAATGGCCCACTCCCCGCTTTCCCAGTAGTCTTTCAGATCCACGTGGCGCTCCATGCTCTCCAGGTCAATCTTGGCCTTGTCGTAGGTCCATGACCCAAACTTCATTTTGCAGTTCTGCTGGTCAAAGGGGAAGAAGGTGACGTCGATGCTGCAGGAGCTCTTGTAGATGGCTGGAGGCACCCACTTCACACTGCCGTTAGAGAAGAGATGTGCCTTGGTCATGTGGGTCACCGCAAATTCCCCATCCGCACTAAAAGGAAGAGGCAGAATGTTAGTCGGAGGAGAGGCCGTGGCTGTAAAGGGACCCAAAGACTTGTGTCAATCCAGACCTGCAGAGTTATGGTGGGCAGTGTCCCCTCTAAGCTGAGTTAGTGTGAGCTAGCTCACAGTTTTTTAGCCTCTGGCTCACACATGTTTGCCTTTGCTCAGGAAGGATGGCTCCAGAGCAAACTAATTGATGCAGTAGCCAAATCGCTCACTCACAACTTTCATACCGGTAGCTCACAAAGCAGAATTTTTGCTCATAAGACTCCACAGCTTAGAGGGAACATTAATGGTGGCGTAAGCTTTTTTGAGTCTAGAATCCACTTCCTTGGATGCATGACACGGTCTCTTAAATAGAATCACAGAGTTGGAAGGGACCTGCAGGGTCATCTAGTCCAACTCCTACACAATGCAGGAAATTCACAAATACCTCCCCCTCCATACCCCCAGTGCCCCCATTCCATGCCCAGAAGATGACAAAAAACCTCCAGGATCCCTAGCCAAACTGACCTAGAGAAAAATTGCTTCTCGACCCCAAAGTGGTGATCGGCATTTTCCTGGGTGTGTAAGAACTAAGCACTGATCCAACCCTTCCTGCCCTCCCTCTCATGATCTGCCTAAGTTCACAGAACCAGCATTGCTGTCAGATGGCCATCTAGCCTCTGTTTGAAAACCTCCAAAGAAGGAGAGCCCTCCATCCTCCCGAGGAAGCCTGTTCCACTGAGAAACCACTCTGTCAGGAAGTTCTTCCTAATGTTTAGCTGAAAACTCTTCTGATTTAATTTTAATCCATTGGTTCTGGTCTGACCTTCTGGGGCAACAGAAAACAACTCTGTAGAATAGATAGGTATGAACACAGCAAGAAAAGGGTGGTGGTGGGCGGAATCGTGCTTGTGCTTTACAAAGTGTGGTAAAGCAATGCAAGCCACAGCAGCAACCCATCAATGTAAAGTGCTATCAGCATTCACCTCCCCTCATCCTCTTGCATGTTAATAATCCCCCCCCCAACAAATCTATACTGAATAGAGAAGCTATATGGTGCTTTCTGTTGTTTTTTTCACCCTGCAAGGGATCTGTGTTCCTCCTTTGGCATATGGGTAATTTGGGATAGATCCGTATTTCTGTGAATGTACAAAGAATGCATGGAATTCAGCTTCCCAGAAAATGTGCTGCAAGGTGACACCGGGCCAGCAATAAAGTGAAGCTAAATGGCCTGCTTTGATCCCTCGGATGATGCACCCAAGATCCAAACTTAACACCACGTTCTGAAGAAGCTGCCTGGTGAGGACTTCTTTGGAGCTCCAAAAGCTTGCACAGAGTTTTGTGTCAATTTGTTTGGTTCTAATGAAAGCTTTGTGCGGATTTAGTTCTTGTTTTCAAATTGATAGATCTTAGTCCAGAACTGGAGAAATAGTGTAATTATCCATAGGTACCACTTGCTGCGGTGGCTCAAGTGGTTAAGACGCTGAACTGCAGGCTGTGGAAGGTCAGTAGTTCAGCGGTTCAAGACCCGGGTGCCGCAAGACAGGGTGAGCTCCTGTCTCTAGTTCCAGCTCCTGCCAACCTAGCAGTTCGAAAGCAAGAAATTGCAAGTAGATAAATAGGGACCACTTCGGTGGGAAGGTAACAGCGTTCCGTGCGCCTTGGTGTTTAGTCATGCCGGCCACATGACCACGGAAACGTCTTCGGACAGCGCTGGCTCTTCGGCTTTGAAACGGAGATGAGCACCGCAACCCTAGAGTCGGATTCGACTGGCTTTCGAGCAAGGGAACCTTTACCTTTACTTTTACCACTTGATGGCAGCAAAAGTGCAAGAAATGGGGGGGAGGCAAGGGCTGTCGCATGTGCTCTAGCCGGTCGGGAATCTTGCATGAAAAACGGTCCAGCTAAGCACTCCCTTGCTGAGTCTCTGCATTGCTCTTTCCTCAAGGCAGCATTTTGCAGGTGTTCCCCAAAAATGTGTCTTGGGGCTGCTGTACAGAATGCAACTGTGCGAGGAACTTCCTGGATGTTGCCGGTGGCACACTTGTCCCTTTCCCCCCTCTCTAGTTTCCCCTTTTTGAACCAGCCCTCATACTCAAGAATATGCCCAAATCAGAAGAAAAAAAAAGGCAAGGTCACAGGCTTTGCTCAAGGCCACTTCTCTGTGACATACGAGAACATAAGAAGAGTCCTGCTGGAACAGACCAGCAGCCCATCATGCCTTGCACCCAGTTTCCAACAGCCAACAGACTGATGCTTCCGGGAAGCCCACAACTGGGGTTGCCAGCTCTGGGTTGAGAAATACCTGGAGACTTGGAGGGGTGGAGTCTGGGGAGGGTGGAGTTTGGGTATGGGAGGGACCTCAGGGGGGTTGATTCCATAGAGTCCACTCTCCCCAGGGAAACCAATCTTGGTTGTCTAGGGACAACTGTAATAACAGGAGATTCCCAGTTGCCTCCTGGAGGTTGGCAACCCTACCCCAAATCAAGAAGAAGAGGAGATTGGCTTTATACCCCACCCTTCACTCAGGGTCTCAGAGTGGCTTACAAACTCCTTTCCCTTCCCTTCCTGACAACAGACACCCTTCTGAGATAGTTGGGGCTGAGAGAGCTCTTTCAGGAACTGCCCTTTCACGGACAGCTCTTGTCAGAACTATGGCTTGCCCAAGGTCATCCAGCAGCTGCAAGTGGAGGAGTGGGGAATCAAACCCGGTTCTCCCAGATTAGAGTCCGCACACTTAACCACTACACCAGATCAAGGCATGAAGGCGTCAGGCCTGCACTGTTTTGGGTCCTCAGCACTGTATGCACAGAGGTACACTGCTTCTGAACATGGAGATATCATGTCCACATGTGATCAGACTGCTCGCATGTCATGTCTTTGTCCAAAATGCTCTTAAAGTGTATACAGGATGGATGAATACTCACACCTTCATACACACACACACACTTTCAGCAAATAACTGCCTTGAATCTGCAAGCTACCTGGTTCACCCAAGCACATGGTCAGTTTTCAGTATGAGAGGGGACATATTTATTTAAGCAGTTTCGATGCTGCCTTTCTAGCCAAGGAAGTGGACATCAAAACACTGGGGGTGAAAAGTGTCGTCAAGTTGCCCCTGACTTCCGGCAAGCCCTAATGGGGCTTTCAAGGCAAGCGACAGGACAGAGGTGGCTTCTGCCACTGCCCGCCTCTTTGTGGCAACCCTGGACTTCCTCAGGGGTCTCCCACCCGAGGACTGACCAGAGCTGACCCTGCCTAAGCTCCTGAGGTCTGATGAGACTGGGCGAGCCTGGCCCAGCCAGGTCAGGGCATCAAAACATTTAAATGTTTGTTTTTTAAAAAATTAAAGCAGGATTTAACACAAGGTATACAGAAAATTTTGGCCTTGTGTTGAATTAAGCCATTGGCCCATGGGGCGTAGTGTAGTCCGCCCTGTGGCACGGACTCTCCCAAGCCTTCAACCGGAAGAGGTCTTTCCCACCACTCATTCACTGAGAACCTTTAACTGGATATGCTGGGAGGTGAACCTGAGACATTTCTATCTGTCACATTCCTCCCTTTGAATTTATATATTGGCACAATCCTGCTATACACTTTGGGGGGGGGGTGTTTTGTTTTGTTGCCAAGTCACAGCTGACTTAGGGCGACCCTGTGGGGTCTTCAAGGCAAGAGACGTTCAGAGGTGGCTTCCCATTGCCTGCCTCTGCATCATGACCCTGGTATTCCTTGGAGGTCTCCCTTGCAAACACTTGCCAGGGCTGACCCTGCTTAGCTTCTGAGATCTGGCTAGCCTGGAGTATCCAGGTCAGGGCGTACTTGTTATATACTTACTTGTTATAGAGTACGATGTCCGGGATCCAGATCATCTCAGATGGCACCCGGATTGAAGTGACGTTGTCAAAATCGGCTGGATTCCACTGCAGTTTGTAGTCATTCCACTCCTGGTGGTCAAGAAACTATTCTTAATGGTTCATGGATACAGACGGTTCCCCTGGACTTTCTGAGGGTGTTCAGTCTAAGGGAAACCTTGCAGCTCACTTGTCCTATGCATGTTGACTCAAGGTTACGCTCCACTCACTTTATGATGATGATTTATTGAAAGCTTTTAGAACCCTGCACTTTCAGCCTTGCTCACCAAGCAGCCCCAGCTATTAAATATAAAAAAGTTAAAATGCAACAATAATTACAAGAAGAAAAGAGGTTGGATTTATATCCCACCCTTCACTACCTGAAGGAGTCTCAGAGCAGCTTACAATCACCTTTCCCCTCCCCTCCCCAAAACAGACACGTTGGTGAGATAGGTGGGGCTGAGAGAGCTTTTTCGAGAACTGCTCCTGAGAGAACAGCTCTGAAAGAACTTGTGACTGACCCAAGGCCACACCAGCAGCTGCATGTGAAGGTGTGGGCAATCAAACCCAGTTCTCCCAGATTAGAGTCCGCGCTCCTAACCACTACACTAAAAAGCATACATACATAACAAGACCCTGGGTTTTTTGGGGGGTGGGGCAATCAGAAACACTAAATTGCCTGAGCTCTTAAAAGGACAATTTTAGACCTGGGACATACAATTGGAGGAAGAGAGAGCCAGTCAGGGGGATAGAACAGAAGAGATCTATGGCAACAAATCAACAGAAAGCTTCAGGGCATAGCAGTGTATTTGCCGGACATCTGCTCAGCAAGCCTGGCACCAGGCACATCGCTCAGTCAGTTTTGCCTGCAGGTTAAGTGTAGTACTGCAGCTCTTGTTTTCTCCTTCTGTAAACAACACTGAACATTTTAGGGGGTTGATGCTAAGTTTTTAAGAAGAAAATATTCGAAACGGAGTGCATACCTGGGATCTTCGTTATTGTACAGCTCTGTATAATTCTTGCCAGTGATCGTTTGCATTGTACTGTCATACCTTTTGAATTTGCTTTACAATGGCCCGGGCACACGGGCCGGATATCACGGGCGGAGGCGTGGCTAATTGCCCCGGCGCAGTTTGATCTGCGATTACGTGATCAGACGTGCCGGCGGCACAGCATGGGTCCTTCCCTCGGCACCACCGGGTAAACAAGGGATCGGAGGGGAATGCCGCGCGCCAGCGCGATCACACCATGGGCGTCTGGAGGCAGCCCATGGCAAACGTTTACTAGTACCTTGGAGGTACTAGTTTTTAAATGTGCATTGTCGGCGGTAAGCCACAGGTGCACTCCACTTCCCAGATGTTGGGGTGTGATTGCGCACAGATAATCCGCCCACCTTCCGTGCCTATCCCGCGTCAACTTTGCCGTGTGACCGGGGCCAATATATATTTGAATTAAGAAAATATTGATTATAATATTGGCTTAGTGTCTCACTCCACAGTTTTGTTGTTGTTGTTGTTGTTGTTGTTATTATTATTATTATTATTATTATTATTATTATTATTATTATTATTATTACTACTACTACTACTGCTGAGAAGTCTGCTTTTCTGTTTATATAATGGTGGGAAACCTCTCAGGAATCCCCACTGTTGCTTGCCAGATATTGAAAGGCAAATTCTGTGGGCCTGCCACCACCACACTGGCACGCAACATCACTTCCTGAAAAAACAGATGTCACCAGGGGCACTCTAGGATTTACCAAAAACTCTGTGTTTTAACCACTGAGATTTTGCAAATTCTAGAGCATTCCTGTCTGAAATCATGACATCACCTTCATTTTTTCCCCTGTGAGTCACATTGTGCACGGGTGTGATGCTGGCACACCTGTCCCCACCCCCCACCCCCAAATGCTCCCCAGGGGTTCCAGGCTGCAGCCTGGCAACCCTATCCCAGCCTTCAACTTTGCTTGAATGCATCCTTCCCCTTTCACTCACCTGTTTCAACCAAACATTGGTGGTCATCATTTGGTTCTTTTCATCCTTGATCGGTGGAGAATATGGAGAAGCAGGAGAAAAGCTTTGATCAGAACAGAAGGTTACAGATTCAAACAGTTCTTATTGCAACATTCAGGCCTCAAAAGGGGAAATAAGAGAGTTGGGTTGCACTGGAACACCAAGCTCAATGGTGTTGCCCTGCAAGGCGCTTATTAGCGCTATTTAGACTTGGACTGTGCCAGTAGTGTGCAAAAAGGGACTGAACTGTGTAGTGATCCAAAGATGATGCCAGTTACACACACACACAAGAAGTAAGCCTTCCTGTGAGAGGATGTAGAAATGGTTTCATGGGTCACCTACCCGCTTACCTGCTGTAAGATGGACCAGCTCCCTAGCCACATGAAGCACTGAAAGCCAGGCAGATGCCATGCCAAGGCAGAAGACCCAAGAACAAAGCATTCAAACTCCATGCTGAGTTTCCTTCTCAGCACACAGGCAACATCCCCTTCCCCCCACCCAGCCTCACCTAGCTGAAACAGCCACCATAAGACAATCAAGGAATGTCCATGACAATGACTGTAGCCACATGAGTCATCATCCCTCTAGGTGTTACCGTCTTCTCAGGATTACTAGATCTAAATATTGACCACCCCCCTTAGACCCTTCCCCCTTGACCCCAGGTCCAATCAGTGTATTTTGGGGGATGGACTGATAGGAGGTGTGCCAGGGGATGTGGCCAGCCTAGCCCGCCCACCCCATACCACCTCATAAAAGAGGGCAACCCGCCATGCTTGCTCTCTTACTCTCTCTCTCTCCTATAACCACCCTAACTCCACGACTCTCGGTTGCGCAGCCCCAGAGTCTCCACGTGTTGCTGCCGGCTCAGGACACGACCCCATAACCCCATAGTCTCCTTTATTTTCCTAAGAATTGCTTCATCTCGCCGCAGACAGGTACAGTATTGCCCCTCAACGATTGTCCTGCTAATGCAAAAGTGCTATCATTTTCTATCTAAGTTTCCTAGAACTGTATAATTGTGAGTGTGATTGAATTATTGTATGTGTGTGAAACACCTTCAGTAAACAAGAACAATTTTATACTGAAGCTTGCCTCTGAGTCTATTTCTGGTGATTCTGGAAGAAGCGGGAACCCTGTATACACTGGTGCTTGCTCCCTTATTTGCCTATTGCCTTGTCTACTCTCAAATAATTAATAATCAGAGGCAATTTGGCTAACAATGGCATCCCTCCACAAACCGGGAACCCAAAAGCTTGTGCCATGACATCTGAGAATGGCTTCCACAGTCAGCTTGCAGCACTTTCCATAGTATTTAGAGAGAAAGCATGTCCTCTGACTGCTTTCTGCAGGGTGCAGCTGGTTTTATCTTCCAGGGTGCATTCAGCAACAAAATACAGATGTGCAATGGGACAAGCAGAGTATAAGAATACAATTCTGACATCCCATTAATGAGGAACTAACCTTCCTGCATTGTCATTCAGATTATTCTGAATACATTGGATACATGAACATTTATTATGACAAAATCTGTGAAATAAGCCCAAGCATGTTCATGACATAACAGCAATCATGCTGTATCAGGCCTATGTCCCAACCAGCATCCTGTCTCACACAGTGACCCACTAGGTACTCCTAGACACAGAGACCAAGACCTCCCCCCAAAGTCCTGAGGTTTACTGCTTCTGAACATGGAGGTTTCACTGATAGACCTATCCTCCATTAACTTGTCTGGTCACCTTTTCAAGCCAACCTCTCTAGTGGCAGTGAATTCCCCAAGTCAATAATGACATCACTAAAGCAGCAGCAAAGAAGAAAAGAAGCAGGTAAAAAGGAAGGGAACAAAGCTGCAAAAGGACTCTGTTAACAAAATTCCTGGGCAAATGGCAACGTGTTCACCAGCCATCTAAGAGCGGACAGGCCAGGTGCTGAGCAAGCCATTGGGGAGGGGCACACTCAAGGCACCCCAGAAAAAGCCCTTAAGAAGCTGCTTGAATCAGACCATTGGCTGATTTAGCATTTTTTGTTCAGACCGGAGGAATTCAAATTGTGTGTGTGTAAAGTATTTCTTGAGGACACTCCCCTAAACTTCCTGAACGGTCTCCCAGAACCAATATATGCATCTCTTTACTGGCCAGTATCTGGCCACTCCACTGAGCAAAGTCTGGTGACTTCCTCCAGCCTAAGTAAACTTCCTTCAACTTCAATGGTTCTTCTTTCAACAGAAGGGCCATTTAAAGTAGGGTTGCCAACTCTGGGTTGGGAAATACCTGGAGATTTGGGGGGGGGATGAAGTCTGGGGAGGGGAGCATTTGAGGAGAGATCTCAGCAGGGTACAGTGCCACAGAATCCATCAGCCAAAGCTGAAATGTTCTCCAGAGGATCTGATCTTTGTCATTTGGAGATCAGTTGTAAGACCAGGAGATCTCTAGTCCCTGCCTGGAGGCTGGCATCCCTAGGGTGAAAGAATGCACCAGCCTAAGGCAGGATGGCTGCCATTGTCTATCTTCCTCCAAAGAATGTGACCTTAGCTATGTAGAAATCATATGATGATGTCATGACAATTTGCAACCAATCAGATTTAGCAACAAACAGCATCCTACTGCCCTCAATATGTGAACACTTTCACCTGTTTTTGCCCTGCCCCCCTACCTGTCTGGAGGGGGTACTTTCAATAGTATCTGCCAAAAACACCACCCCCTTTTTGGCTCAGCCCTCATGAGGAGTAGTGTCAAATGATATACATACCACATCGATCAGCTGAGCAATGGCTAACCCAAACCTGACGATAACAACATCTGAGGTATTGGGGACTGGCCTGGACCACTTGTTGTAGGCTGTGAAAAGGTACTTGAAGAGCCGTTCTTCTGCTTGGGTTTGCGTCCGGCCTAGGGCAAATCCTGAAACAGATCGAGAGCACAACAAGAGGAGAAATTGGGGAGGGGTTTCACCTAGAATCGATGGCATACTATAGAGTTTGCCCTCTGAAGCTGCCATTTTCTCCCTGGGAACTGATCTCTGTAGTCTTGAAATCAGCTGTAACTCCAGGGCAACAACAGGCCCCACCTGGAGACTGGCCTTGTGAACTGTAACAAAAATAAACACTGTTATACTTTTGCAGCCCTGGTGCGGCTTCCCAGTTTTGCAGTAGTGCCGCTTAGTCTCGTGGCCCTTGGGTTGTACACCACCGACCACCAGTCCTGAATGGCTGACGAACCCTTGGTTTTGGAACTCACCTGGAAAGCCATAACACAGAGCCACAATATATAGCCCATTTCCACAGCAAGGCCTGAGTGTCAGGGTGCCATCCTCCCTACACATACACAGACTCCAGAAGATCCCTGCTGCATCAAGTCTGTAGGTGGTCAGTTGTTCTGGCACTGTGAGGTAAAGTCACCTACTCCCACAGTTGCATGGAATACCGGCAGCTTGGGTTGCCAGGTCTGGGTTGGAAAATACCTGGAGACTTTGGGGGTGGAGCCGGGAGAGGGCGGGGTTTGGGGCGTCAGCATGGTACAATGCCATAGAGTCTACCCTTCAAAGAGCCATTTTCTCCAGGGGAGCTGATCTCTGTCAGCTGGAGATCGGTTGTAAAAGCGGGAGATCCCCAGGTCCCACCTGGAGGCTGGCATCCCTAACCGGCAGCTTGGGTTGCCAGCCTCCCTGGCAATTTAGGGGTGGAGCCTAGGGAGGGTGGTGGGATTGGTCTCATCAGGGTATAGTGCCATGGAGTCCACCCTCCAAAGCAGCCATTTTCTCCAGGGGAACTGATCTCTGTCATCTGGACTGGACATCAGTTGTCATTCCAGATCCCTACCTGGAGGTTGGCAATTGTACCAGCAGTTGAGGAAGTGCGAGTCCAATTCCGCAGTAGAGGATCCCACCAAGTCCAAAACTCTTGGCCATTTTACAACTAGTGCTGGTGCCAGTTCAGAATGTATGGAGGCTCTTTAGCTAATGAGGTGGCCGTTCTGCCAACTTGACTGTTTCTGTTCCAGGCTGTATAGTTTATGGGCCTTCAAAGATTTGCTTTGTGCTCTGATAGGAGCTCATAAGAACATAAGAGATGCCAATGTTGGATCAGGCCAAAGGCCCATCCAGTCCAACACTCTGTATCACACAGTGGCCAGAAATATTAGTGCCATCAGGAGGTCCACCAGTGGGGCCAGGACATTAGAAGCCCTCCCACTGTTGACCCCCCCAAACACCAAGATGACAGAGCATCACTTGCCCCAGAGTCCCTATCTATACCTTGTGGCTAATAGCCACTGATGGACCTCTGCTCCATATGCTTATCTAATTCCCTTTTGAAGCCAACCATGCTTGTAGCCGCCACTTCCTGTGGCGGTGAATTTCAAGTGTTAATCACTCTTTGGGTGAAGAAGTACTTCCTCTTATCCGTTCTAACCCGACCGCTCAGCAATTTCATGGAGTGCCCACGAGTTCTTGTATTGTGAGAAAGGGAGAAAAGTACCTCTTTCTCTACCTGCTCTTTCCCATGCATAATCTTATAAACCTCAATCATGTCACCCCTCAGTCGTCGTTTCTCCAAGCTAAAGAGCCCTAAGCGTCTTAACCTTTCCTCATAGGGAAAGTGTTCCAACCCCTTTATCATTCGAGTTGCCCTTTTCTGCACTTTTTCCAAAGCTATAATATCCTTTTTAAGGTGTGGTGACCAGAACTGCACACAGTATTCCAAATGAGGTCGCACCATTGATTTATATAGGGGCATTATGATACTGGCTGATCTGTCAGTGAGTTATCCACTACAACTCCAAGATCTCTCTCTTGCTCAGTCTCTGCCAGTTCAGACCCCATCAATGTGTATTTATATTTAGGATTTTTGGCTCCAATGTGCATCACCTTGCACTTGGCCACATTGAACCCCATTTGCCATGTTGACGCCCACTCGCCCATCCTTGACAGATCCCCTTGGAGTGCCTCACAATCCTCACTGGTTTTCACCACCCTGAACAACTTTGTATCATCCGCAAATTTAGCCACTTCACTGCTTACTCCCATCTCCAAATCATTAATGAACAAGTTAAAAAGCAGTGGACCAAGTACTGATCCCTGCGGTACCCCACTGCTTACCACCCTCCACTGAGAAAATTGCCCACCTACACTCACTCTCTGTTTTCTATGAACTAGCCAGTTTTTGATCCATAAAAGGACTTGTCCTTCTATCCCATGATTTTTGAGCTTACTTAGGAGCCTTTGATGAGGAACTTTATCAAAAGCTTTCTGGAAGTCAAGGTAAATAATATCTATTGGATCCCCCTTGTCCACATGTTTGTTCACCCCCTCAAAGAACACTAACAGGTTAGTGAGACAAGATCTTCCCTTACAGAAACCGTGCTGAGTCTGCCTCAATAGGTTTTGTTCATCTATGTGCCTACTAATTCTTTCCTTAATAATGGTTTCCACCAATTTACCCGGTATCGACGTCAGACTGACTGGCCTGTAATTTCCCGGATCTCCTCTGGAACCCTTTTTAAAGATGGGAGTGACATTAGCTACCTTCCAATCCTCAGGAATGGAGGCAGATTTTAAGGAAAGATTACATATCTTTGTCAGGAGATCTACAAGTTCACATTTGAGTTCTTTCAGAACTCTCGGATGTATGCCATCTGGGCCTGGTGATTTATCAGTTTTGTCTATCAGTTTTAGGACCTCCTCTCTCGTCACCTCAATCTGACTCAGGTCTTTCAACACCCTTCCCGAAATCAGCGGTTCTGGAGTGGGCAAGCACTTCTCATCTTCCACAGTGAAGACGGAGGCAAAAAATGCATTTAGCTTCTCAGCCATTTCCCTATCATCCTTCAGTACTCTTTTTACCCCTTGGTCGTCCAAGGGCCCCACTGCCTCCCTGGCTGGTTTCCTGCTTCTAATGTATTTGAAGAAAGTTTTATTGTTGGTTTTTACGTTTTTTGCTATATGCTCCTCATATTCCCTTTTTACCTGCCTGACTACAGACTTGCATTTTATTTGCCATAGCCTGTGTTCCATTTTATCAACCTCACTGTGACTAGCTTTCCACCGCTTAAAGGAATCCTTTTTACCTTTTACAGCTTCCATTACTTTGTTTGTTAACCATGCAGGCTTTTTCTTATACCTATTTGTGCCTTTCCTAACCTGCGGAATATTTTTTTTTTCTAGTTCTAAATAGTTTCCAAGCTTCCCCAAGCTCCTGTTTGCGGTCTTTGTAGCGAACAGCACTCTCCATATTTTCAGTTCCTTGTTCTTGTGCGACGGTCTCTCTTTCTAGATATAGTACCGAGTTTCAGTTGGGAGAACTTATTGTCAGGGGACCAGAGAGAACTGGGGACCTTTTGGTCTGATGTGGCCTAGAGGAATAGTTCTCAAACTTTTTGAAGTGGGACCACTTTACTCAGGTTCTCAGGGCCCACTTGCAAAGATCAAACTTCTTCCTGACCAACATAGGCATGCCAGCCTCCAGGGGTGACCTGGAGATCCCCCAATGACAGCTGATCTCCAGATTACAGAGATCAGTTCACCCACAGAGAAAATGGATGCTTTGGAGGGTGGACTGGAGATCAACTGTAATAGTGGGAGATCTCCAGGTGACAACCCTAGCCATGGTGCTGGGTAAGGGTCCTGCGTGCCAACTCTGCCACTGTTCCCCTGCCCCAGCTGCACCGGTTCCAGCTGCTCCAGGCCCAACACTGTTTTCAGGGCCTGTGTTGCTGCCCAGGAGGCTGCCAGGCTCTCTGTCAGTGGGAGCGGGCCACAGGAGTTGCGTCTCTCACAGTGGTTATGCAGGGTCTGGTGGTCCTGAGTCTATCTGCATCTCCAAGCATAGTTATCTGCAGGGCTTTTTTTGTAGAAAAAGCCCAGCAGGAACTCATTAGCATAATAGGTCACACCCAACAGCAGAAACTCATTAGCATATTAGGCCACACCCCTGACAGAACATCTTATTGGCACATTAGGCCACACCCCCATGTTACCAGAAGTGTGCTCATCCAGCCACACCCACCTTTTGCTTCTTATTCTGTTTACCTTGTTTGTTGTTAAAACCCAGGGCTTTTTTGTAGCAGGAACTCCTTTGCATGTTAGGCCACACACCCCTAATGTACCCAATCCTAATGAGTTTCTGATGTTGGGTGTGGCCTATTATGCTAATGAGTTCCTGCTGGGCGTGGCCAACTTGGAAGCCAGTCGGATCTCCATTCCTGTGCGTTCCTGCCCAAAAATAGCCCTGGTTATCTGATTTTCTGTGGAAGCTCTCTGGGGGACATCTCTCTCAGCCTAACCTACCTCACAGGTTTGCTGTGAGGATGAATCGGAGCACACCAGAATGGTGTTGTCAGCCACTTGGGGTCTCCACTGAGGAGAAAAGTGGGGTATAAATATCTGAACAAAATAAATATGGCTGGTGAGAGAATCCCTCTGGCACCTTCCTAGCAGCTGAGGTGGCCTGATACCCTCTCCTGACAACAAAGAGCGGCGTCTATTGACACGACAAATCTGCTCCTCAGACAGGGCTAATGAGAACAAATGAGGCTGGGTAAGCAAAGGCTTCTTTTGGGCTGTGAGGAGCCCAACTCTAATTTGCACAGAACTGTTGCTCTCATACAGAGCAGCTTGAGGGAGCTGAATGAACGGGAGTCTGTTTGCTCTGTGAATTGTTTGCTTCCTTTCCTCTGAGTATTTATTCTAAGACCTTTTGTCTGTTTATTTATTCCAGTTCATTGCTTGCCCTGCACCTTAAGTGTGGAGCAGACGCGAAGCAGAATGCAAAGAAAATGGATTGCTCATTGACAGAGAGGAAGAATACAAGAACGATGGTCATATCATTAAGTCACTTTTGCCATCTTCACCATCTTTTCTTTATTACCAGCCTAAATAAGAAAGCAAAGTCAAGTTTAAAATAATA